TTATTCTTATTTGTTTCCAGTTTTTATTTACCTTATTTATTGAATTTATTACTAATTGTATTTCAAAGTGATTATTTTTTGTCATGATTGATTTTTATTAATCGAAAATACTTATTCCAGTTTCAAAGTTGTTATGCTTGAAGTTAATAATTTTTTAAAAAATGAATTTAAAATTCATCATTTAATAATCCTTTGACTAAGACAATGAAACTGTGGCTTTAAAAAAACCCATTCAGCACCATTTGCTCATAGGTCTTTCAGAATTTGTCCTTCATTTTATTTTTTTTAGTTGTAGATGGACATAATATTTTTATTTTTACTTATTTATTTTTTATGTGGTATTGAGGACCAAACCCAGGGCCTCATGCATGCAAGGCAAGTGCTCTGCCACTGAGCTACAACACCAGCCCCAGAGAATTCATTCTTCAAGTGTCTGGGAACTATCCTGTACAGGAACTCCTGAGCTGCAGTTTATTTGGGGCTCATGGTTTCAGAGGTCTCAGTCCATAGAGAGCCAACTCTATTGCTCTGAGCCCAAGGTGAGGCAGCACATTCTGGGGGAAGGACTCAGTGAAACAAAGCTGCTCAGTTCCTGGTGGGGTCAGGAAGCAGAAAGAAAGAGAAGAAAGCGGGAAAATAAGGGGCTGCAGGAACAACAACCCATCCAGGGCACATCCTCAGACCCACCCAGAAAGCCTCTCTGGGACACCCAATGGGAAGCTAAGCAACTATCACAAAAGGAGTCAGTGTACTTCAGCAAGGTAACTTGGTCCCCTCCCTACACTTCAGTCAGGTAGGGACACACTTCTAAGCACTGAGGTATGAGTAGTCAGACCTCATTACTTGCTGTTAGAATTGTAATTTCCCCCTAATAATAGTAAATCTCTGGCACAGAGGCAATTGGTTCTTACTGTCTGTGATTTTTGGAAATATTGTAAATAATTTGGATTTAGTTTACTTTATTCATAAATTATATATGTCTTATGTCAGAGGAAGGGTCTGCCAGTTTAGTGTCCTTATTAACTATATACAATGTGTAGGCAAAAAATACTCTTACACCACATTTTGAAAAACTGTATTACTTAAACAAATATTTGAACAAAATGTCCATAATTTGAGTAGCTGATGGAACTAATCCAAAGTATGGCAAGGGAGATTCACTTTCACTTAAGTATGTGGCTTAGAGAACTTTAAAAACCATGTACCTTTCAAACCATTCAAGGAGAGGTAACAGACCCCACTCCTCCTTCTTTCTTTTTTAAATATCTTTATTTTATTTATTTTTATGTGGTGCTGAGGATGGAACCCAGTGCCTCAGAGATATGAGGCAAGTGATCTACCACTAAACTATAGCCCCATCCCCACTCCTCATTCTTTACTGTGGAATTCCAATTGGGGTTGGGTCAGAAATTAGCACTCAAAGTGATTATTTTCAAAGAGTTTACATTATCATTAAAATTTGGTGTCATTGAATTGTTTACCCCTTTGTAGTTTTATGTTTCATTTCTAGATGATAAATATGGCTGAGAATGTTTTCATGTTTCTGGTCATTTGAATTTCCTTTCACATGAAGTGTCATTTAAAGTCTTTTGTCTAAATTTCTATTAACTGTCTCTTCTTTCTTTCTGATTTACAACAATTTAACTTCCCAGATAGTGTTTTGCTTTTTTTTTTTTTTTTTATACCCAGTAACATATGTTGCAGATCTCCCAAGTGGTTCTTCATATTTTGACCCTCTAAATAAGATTATGGGTATTTATTATTATTCCTTATAGTTTTGCTATCCCTTCTAAAAATGCTCCAAACCAAAATTATAATAAAAAGGGAATGGGCTGATGAATTAGCAAAACAGATAGTAAAGGATGTAGAGAATTCCAGGCAGAAAAAAATAAGAGTGGCATCACCAGAGGGAGAGAAGAGTAGCAAAGTAAGAAACAATCTCAACTGGCTAACAGACTGTTTTAGTCAGTTTTTGTGTCACTGTGACCAAAATACCCAACAATAACAACTTAGAGGAACAAAAATTTATTTTGGGCTCATGGTTTCAGAGGTCTCAGTCCTGAACCCAAAGTGAGGCAGCACATCATGGGGGAAGGACCCAGTGGAGGAAAGCTGCTTAAGTTCCTGGTGGGGTTAGGAAGCGGAAACAAAGAGAAGGAGGGGGAAAAGGAAGGGACTGTAGGAACAACAACCCATCCAGGGCACATCCTCAGTGACCCACCTCTTGTAGCCATGCCCACTCATTTATAATTGCCACTCAGTCCATTCAAACTAGATGGACTGATTAGGATACAGCTCTCACAATTCATTTTACCTTTAAGTAGTTCTGCAGAAACACAGGAGGCTTATGAAAATCATAACACAGATCAATTAAACTTTTAAAATTTCATTTTAATTAGTATTAAATATTACCACATATTAGCATTCAATTAATTAGATCATCTGAATGAAAATAATTTAGTACTTGATAGTTGAAAACAATAAAAATATTTCAGGCAAGATAGAAAACAATTAAATACGATGTTTCTACTTTTCAACATATTAAACCAATTTCATTTGAATTTAACTTTGTAGATTATTAACATATGGAAATCATACAATCAAGAATCATAATGCTACAACTTTGTATGTGCCATGGTGTATGACATCAGGTATGAGGCTGGCAGGCTAATAATCATTAAACCTAATTTTAAACAATCGGCAATTAAAAGTGAAGTTACCACTTTAGTCAAAGGCTTCTCCAATATTATTTCTTTGTATATTTAGATAATGAACTAAAATATGAGATGCAAACAATAATGTGAGGGAAAAAAGATTCAGCTCCTTAAAGCAGTACAGAAATGGCTTCCATTTTATGATTCAATTATGTAATTTGTTTTTTAATGGACACAATATCTTTATTTTGTTTATTTATTTTTACGTGGTGCTGAGGATTGAACCCAATACCTCACACATTTTGAGGCAAGCACTCTACCCCTGAGCTATATAGCCCCAGCCCTGTAATTCTTTCTTTCTTTATTTAAATTAGGTATATACTACAGCAGAATGCATTTTGGTTCATTGCATACGATTCAGCACAAGTTTACATTCTCTGGTTGTACACAGTGTAGCATCACACCATATGTGCAGTCATACATGTACATAGGGTAATGATGTCCATCTCATTCCACCATCTTTCCTGCCCCCATGCACCCATCCTCCCTAACCTCCCTCCCTGTAATTCTGTAATTTTTTTTTTTAACATTTAGACATGTTTTTTTTTTTTAATATTTATTTTTTAGTTGTAGTTGGACACAATTTATTTATTTATTTTTATGTGGTGCTGAGGATCGAACCCAGGGCCTCGCACGTGCTAGGCGAGCACTCTACCGCTGAGCCACAACCCCAGCCCTGTAACTGTTTTTGGATAAGAATTAATTGATAGTAAAAATGTATTTGGAAAAAAAAAAGTATTTGGAGTAACTACTTAACCTAACTACTAAGTTGTCTTCTTTTACAAATATTAATAAAAAGGTGAAAGAAAACAGAACAGAGGTTGTTTTTCTCTTGCAGAATGAAAATAACTTATCTGTTTTTTTTTTTTTTTTTTTTTAAGAAATCTGTGGAAAGTGAAAACATTAACTGCCAAGGAATGAAATACTGCCATTTAAAAGTCCTATATTAGAACTGGGCATGATGGCACATGCCTATAATCCCAACAACTTGGTAGGCTGAGGCAGGAGAATCATCAATTTAGGGAGGTCCTAAGCCACTCAGCGAGACCCTACCTCAAAATAAAAAATAAAAAGAACTGAAGATATAACTCAGTGGTAAAGTACTCCTTGGTTCAGTCCCCAACACCCAAAGGAGGAAAAAAAAAGTCCTATAAAAGGGTTGGGGATGTAGCATAGTGGTAGAGTACTTCAAAAAATAATAATAAATAAGAGTCCTATATTAGAAAAAAAAACTACATTGGATATTACATCAAATATTTTTTAAAGTGAAGCAAGTGCTTATTCACAAGATAAAAGAATTTTAAATAGAAAAAATAAAGAAACAATATTTTAAGTAAAAATCCTTTTATCACACTACAGTGATATTATTTTCCTGAAGTTAACAAAATCGTTCATGCTGTTAAGCTAATATTCTTCATAGAACTGATGATAAATTTTAATTATGAATGCTCATGAAGTACCTGATGATACAAGATCAAACATAGCCGTTCAATGCCTATAAAGTGGTTAAGTGCTGAAAAATTCTTAGGCTAAAATAGGTTTATGAATCTCTAAGATCCATTATCATTAAATATGCTTTTATATTTACTAGAAAAGTAATAAAGAAGCCAGGCATGGAGGTGTACACCTGTATTTCCAATGACTCAGAAGGATGAGGCAGGAAGATCAAAGGTTTCAGGCCAGCCTCTGCCACTTAACAAGACTTAGTGAGACAATCTCAAAAAAGACATAAAAAAGGACTGGGGATATAGCTCTATGGTGGAATGCCCCTAGTTTCAAACCCCAGTACTGAAAAAAGAGGAAGGAAAAAGACAGTAAATCACTTTCTGATCTCATTTCTTACTTTTCCTTTTAAAATTATTTCTAACAGGAATGATTTCCAATTGACGCGTAACAGAAATGGAATTCTCACTGTTATAAAAAAGGTATAAAGAAGCTGGGTGCAGTGCGCATGCCTCTAATCCAAGTGGCTCAGGAGGCTGAGGCAGGAGGATCCAGAGTTCAAAGCCAGTGAGACACTAAGCAGCTCAGTGAGACCCTGTCTCTAAATAAAATACAAAATATGGCTGGGGATGCGCCTCAGTGGTAGAGTACTCGAAGTTCAATTCCTGATACCAAAAAATTAAAATAAATACAAAAATAAATTAACCTATATTCTAAATTCTTAGAAAAGGAAACATCATTTGGGAGGAATTATTGTACTTGCCTTCCCTACATGAATCTATAAAGTTAAAATGAGGAAGAATAATTTCATTTATTACAAAATAAGAAGTTTCAATTAAAATTGATGATAAAATATTCAATGTTCATTTAAAAAATATATCAAGAGTGTATCTGGGATTGTTCGGTTTTATTTTCTTTGATGCTGAGTACTTTGCGGTTAGTCCCACCCTGAAATGAAACACACACATACACACAATTAAAATACAGGAAGAGATTTTTAAAAATAATTTTTCAAATAACTTCTAAAATGTTACTTGTTGACTTATAATTCTGACATCCTTTAAATTTGACCCGCAAAACATAATGATTTTACCGCTAGCTTTATTAAAGTTCAAATTAGTCATACCTTTTTGTTCTGGTCTTCTGTACTCTGCTTGAGCTACCTATAGAGGGAAGAAAGTCAAGAAATTCCATAATGGAATACATAAAATAATTGAAAAACTGTGTAAAAATTTAAAATGTTAAAGCTGACTGATTAAAGATACTAAAAATTTTATTGGTACTATATAGTTCATATTTTACATAACAGAAACTAGCTTTATAGCATGTCTTCATAATTTACTTAGTTTTACTAGCATTATGCTTAATATCATTTTTGGAATTTGGTAGTTAGCACTACCAAAAACAAGTTAAGAGATATCTTAACTATGTAAATATATAAAAATATATGTATGATTTGCCACCATACTTTGGCAAATGCTCTTTGAAGGAATTTTTTTTTTGATTAGATGACTTGAGTTCATTATATGCTAAATAAAGTCTAAATTGAAGTTTTCCTAAATTCAGAAGCTACTGATTTCAGTTAACCCACTGGCCAACACACACATTCGAAGATATTCAACATCCTTAGCAATCAGGTAAATGCAAATCAAAACTACCTTGAAATTTCATCTCACCCCAGTTAGAATGGCAATCATCAACAATACAAATAGCAATAATTGCTGATGGTGGGAAAAAAAGATACACTTAACAGCATTGTTAGTGGGCTGAAAATTAGTACAACCACTCTGGAAAACAGTATGGAGATTCCTATAAAGGCTAGGATTGTAACCATCATATAACCCAGATATCCAAACTCCTTAGTATTTATTCAGAGGAGTAAAATTATCATACTGTAGTGATATATGCACACCAATGTGTACAGCAGTACAGTTCATAACAGACAAGTTATGGAACCAGCCTAGGTGCCTTTCAACAGTGAACAGAGAAAACATGGCATATATACACAATAGAGTTTTACTCAACCACAAAGAAGAATGAAATTGTCATTTGCTCATAAATGGATAGAACTGTAGAACATTATGCTAAGTGAAATAAGCCAGACTCAAAAAGTCAAGGGTCGAATGCTTTCTCTCTTGGGGGATCTCAAGAAAATAGAAGGGAGAATGGATGAATAGAGGAGAGAAATGGAGGGGAAGAGAAAAGGGATGGGAAAGGGGAGGAATTACAAATGAAGTTGAGTAAATTATGCTATGTGCCCGTGTGAACATATTGCAATGAATTCTACTTTTATATTCAACTATAACAAACCAATTAAAAAAAAAAAAAACAGTAGGAAGATTAAATAGAGTAGAGGAAGGGGATCAAGGGTAGGGAGGAGGAAAGAGAAAGTATGAGGGATTGAAATACAGAATGTTATATGAATTTATGAATGTCAAAATGAATGCCACTATTATGTATAAATATAATCCCCACTAATAAATATATTATGAATATAATTATGTATTTACATATATGTTCTTATTATATATTATATAATTATATATACTATATTTAATTTTTGTATAAGTATTCCACTTCTGTTAGGACAAAATGGGTTAACTCAAACCAATAGCTTTAAAAACAATTAGAATTATATAATAATGTAATATTATAATTATATAATAGAATTATATATTGATGTATAATTATATTACATATAAATTATATAACTACGATGCTATATAAAATATAATCATATTAAATATAATTATACTAAAGGGTATAATAATAACAGAATGTTAATATGATGCATATAAGCTCTAGATTATAATTTTCAAACTATTTTAATGCACCTGTATCAATTCTGTTACAATATTCAGATTATTGAAAATTTGGGAGTCAATGGGTTTAACGCCAATCTACGGTCAGGTAACTTTTTCCTGGCTGGCAGCATATACAAACTACCCTTTTAATAATATGTGTTCGGAATGAACAATCTTACATATTCCTAGAAAATCAAATTCTTTCAATTGACTACAAACTCACCAGTACTTCTGGAGCTATCTTTGGGTTGGTTAAGAGGATAAGCTTTATCATTCTTCAGTTCGTGGATAATACCTTTATTTAAGCAAACATCCACGTGCACATTGAACAGCATAAGATCTGAAGTTTTTTGTTCTAGATTACATACTGGACAAACTAGCGCTTGGCCTGCTGTCACTTGATACACACAAGGTTGGAGTGGTTCATGTCTACTTAGTAACTCAGCATCTTGATTTTCTAATGAAACAAGACAAGACTTGCTTGGAAGACTAGAACATTCCTCCTTGCTGTGCTCAGTGTCTATACTTCCTGCTTTAGATGAATTATTTCTAGTTTCTACCAAATTTACACAATCTACTGAAGTGATTTCTACATTTTTCTGATGAGTTTCATAATATTGCTTTTCACAAAGTAAAAAAGAATGGTTTGTGATTTCTTTCAGGTTAACTTCAGTAGAGGAAGCATTTGAAGAATTCATTTTCGAGTTCTCCCTAATTGAAGGTCCATCAAGACACACATCTACATGTTTATTAAAGGCTTCCAGACTGATACTTCTTTGTTCCCTAAAGCAAACAGGACAGGTAAATATCTGGAAGTTATCTGAATTATCTGATGTTTCTAAATTCTCACTTGTCTTCTTTAAAACTTGGAATGGTTGTGATATCTGTAAACTTTCTTTAACTATAGTTTCACATTTAGATGTGTCCTGGTGGCTCCATTTCCTTTCTGATAGTTTTTTATCAAAGAAACTCTTCTTATGAGATGTTTCTAGAGGTTTTACAAACTGATCTTTGTCTGTTTTCTCTAGCATACACCCAGTGACTGACAGGGCTTGGTTTCCAGCCTGTAAGAAGCCAATGATGCTCCTTTGTTGGTGTTTCTTGTCTTCTTCATTGGGAAAACCAGATATTCGAACACCTAAATTAAACCAATCACAATTAATTCCAAATTCAACAAAGCCAACAGGTATATTAAAAACATTTTACATAATACTGTTGTGACATCTATATAAAAGGTTGATTACAGAGAAATAATAAGCAAGGCTGTATATATTTCCTTTTGTATGTGTGGCCTTGTGTATGCTAAGTATGTACTGTACCACAGAGCTATTTCCCTAGCCCAATATTCTTTTAACTAAAGGATGTGTTTTCAAAGCTGATACTGTGAGTGGAAATTTACTTTCCTTTATACAAGCATGTATCATTAAATATTAGCAATCTATTGCAGTTCATATGATGACAGAACTTTCAATTAATATCTGACATATAATGGCATTCAATATAAAACAACAAATTGAAATCAACTACCCAGACCCTTTAGCTTTTTTTGTTTTTTTAAGGATTTTTTTTTTTTTTTTTTGGAGCAGTTTTAGGTTCACAGCAAAATTTAGCAAAAGGTACAGAGAATTCTCATATATCCTCTGCCCCTATTCATGTAAAGCCTCTCCTGATATCCACATCCTACACCAAAGTTGAACATTTGTTACAAATGATGAACCTACATTGATATGACATTAGAGTTCACACTCTTGGCACTGTACATTCTATGGGTTTAGAAAAATTTCTTATGTCATATCTTCACTATTATAAATCACAGAATAGTTTAATTGCCCTTCTATTCCTTTGTGTTCTGCCTATCCATCTATCCCTTCTGTCTAACCCTAGAAAACCACTAATATTTTGTTGTTTGGTTTTATCTTTTCCAAAATATTATGCAGCTGGAATTATATGGTATGGAACCTTTATAGACTGACTTCTTTTACCAACCTGTAAGTTTCCTGCATTTCTTTTCACTGCTTGATAGCTTTTTTTTTTTTTTTTTGTATTGGGGCTTGAACCCAGGGGTGCTTTGCCTCTGAGCCACATCCTCAGCTCCTTTTTAATATTTTATTTAGAGACAGGGTCTTGCTGAGTTGCTTAGGGCTTCACTAAGTTGCTAAGGCTGGCTTTGAACTTGTGTTCCTCCTGCCTCAGCTTTCCAAGCTGTTGGGATTACAGGTATGCTTATTTACTTTCCTTTATACAAGCATGTATCATTAAATAGCTTATTTCTTTTATGTACAGAATATTATTACACTGTCTGATTATTCCCTAATTTATTTATCCATCAACTGAAGGACATCTTTAGGCAACTATGAATAAAGCATCTATAGATAACTTGTTATTTGGCTCTTTTAATGAACATTCGTTATTTTGATTCAGGGTATGCTATCTTTTATATGAAAGTATGGCTAATGAACCACTCTTAGTAAGAAAGTGGACATTTGGACTGCTTATCCATACACATTCTTTCACATAATTCACTTTGGAAACATGGTCTATTTGTTTTTATCATATAATGGCTGGAGATGTGATTTCATGGTGTTTCAATCCTTTATTTGTAATTCTGAAATCCAAAAAGTTCTGAAAATTATAAGCAACAAGTGATAAATGATGCCTAAATTAATGTGAAGTTATTTAGAGTCCTTATTGTATGTGAATATATTTTTGTTTATTAATGTTATTTCATCATGGGGCACTGCTCCAGACTCCCAAAGGAGTATTACATAATATACTTACTATGCAGTGAATCTGCTTTCTAATATCTGAATAGGTTTGAATTTTGAAACCTTTCTTGTCCACTTTATTCCAGTACATAATAAGAAACACTTCAATTGGTTCAAAATGGAATCAAACCAATAATCATGGCTTTACATGCATCAGGTTCCAATAAATGGCAGCAGCACAGAAAGTACTTTGTAGTCAGGTTTAAGAAACAAAATAGAGGTGAAAATTTTTTGAAAATTAATTTTTTGGGGGGAAATCTAATAGATTTAAGGAAAAAAAAAAACATACCCATAAGTCTTAATCTCAAGGGACGTGGAAAATCCGCATCAATTTCTGTCCTTAGCAACTCCTTAGCGATGGTAAATATTTCTTCCGCAGTAGAAACAACAGATGAAACTGTAGATGCACGAGTTTTTACTTCAAAATTCACATTCTTCAGTTTAATGGTAACAGTTCTACCCTATAACATATAGAATATATTATTATATAGGCTTTCTAATATTTAGAAAAAAGTTATTTACAAGTTAGAAAAATCCAGAAATGGGTGGGACATGGTAGTGCACTGAGACAGGAGGATCCTGAGTTCAAAGCTAGCCTCAGCAACTCAGCAAAGCCCTAAGCAACTCAGTGAGATCCTGTCTCTAAATAAAAACAAAATAGGGTTGAGGATATAGCTCAGTGGTTGAATGCCTCTGGTTCAATCCCAGAACCGCCTCCCCCAAAAAACCCCTAAGTTTAGAAATGTCTTTTATGTACATGTAAGAATGTGGAAGTATAACAAATTTTATTTATAAAACATGATAATAACAACTATCACAAGAAATAATTAAAATCTATACATAATATGAAAATTCTATTCTAGATACTAACTATTATTCCCATACCCAACTTAATTTTTATAAGATACCCTTATATAAAGGGAAAGTTAACTGATCATTTTTCTTTTTATTGAATCTTAGTTAATTCAATTTCTAAAAAGGCATGAAAATTTTTTTTTTTATAAAAGATCCTCATTAAAAAGGTCTTACTGAAAGCTCACATTTACTGTGTGGCTGGTACATGCCAAATACTATATTTAATAATTTATGTGTAAGAATTCCCTGTGCAGTTAGTGTCTTCGGGTATAGAATTTCATCTGGGGATGATGATGGATGGTGGGGATGGATGCACAACAAAGTGAATGTACTTAATGCCACTGAACCAGACACTGACACATGGCAAAAACTGTAAATTTTATATTGTGCGTATTTTAGTATTCCTGGAGGTTTAACTTAATTCTCCTTCATTTGAGGGTGAGTTAAGACTTACTAATTCATTTTCAAAGGTAAAAATCAGTAATTTCATAGTGGAGAAACGTAGCAATCACCACCTTAACCAACTGATAAAATCCAGAGATGTCATATGGCAACTATATACCACCTGGCAGGATACAATAAGGGCACTTCATCTTTGTGATAGTCTTTCTAAAAACTTATATCCTTGTCTAATTATTAAAAAACAAAACCACCAAACAAACCCAGATTGGATTTTCAAAGTCATGAAAAAAGAGGATAGACTGGGAAACTGTGACAGACCAGAGGAGACTAGGAAGACATAAATGCAACATAGTTCCCTAAATTGAATCCTGGAATAGAGAGGTGATTAACAGAAAATGAGCAAAATCCAAATAAAATTTAGAGTTTATTTAACAATAATGTGCTAATGTCACTTGCTTAGTTTTGACAAATGTACTGTTAACACAAAATGTTAATAATTGAGGAAACTGGATGAAGATTACACTGGAAATCTCTATATTTTTTATCATTTTAATTTTTCTTATTTTTAGTTGTTGATAGACCTTTATTTATTTATTTTTAATTTATATGTGGTGCTGAGAATTTAACCCAGTGCCTCACACATGCTAGACAAGTGCACTACTGCTGAGCCACAGCTCCTTCTCTATATTCTTTTTGTAACTTTTCTGTGAATCTAAAATTTTTCTAAAATTAAAAGTTTATTTAAAATATATTTTTAAGAAGAACTCTGTTATATCATCAAAAGAGAAGCTTATAAGAAAAAGGCTCATCAGATATTCCAGTTTTTTTGTAATAACTTTTTAATATTTTTCTATTACTTTGAACAACTCCACTCCTGGTTTGAGATTGTTGGGAAATACTAAACATGGATTGTTGTGAGAAAAGATTAAAAAACAGAAAATTCAAAGCATTCCAGGCTCCCCCCCCCCCACCCACACCCCAAGTAAGCAACCTGGATTAGAGTCTTGAAACAAAATGTCTATTATTCTAGAAGGTCATTGTTTATGTGAGAAAAATATTAAAGACTAATTGGAAAGGCATTTATAATATGTGAGTACAATTCTGGGGAAATTCTTCTTTGCCTTTCTAAGGCTAATATACTCTCATGTTATATTTAATCAAAGTACTCTGGAGGTAGTATAAAGTCGTGTATAATGATACTGGAAGCATTCCAGCATCACAAGTTTCTTTTTCATAGAATGATCTCATCGTAGACCTCAGATATGGGTCAGATTAAATTTGTCTCTAATTGTTGGGGACAGAATATTCTGTTCCAACATTAACTACTTTGTATTGAGCTTTAAGAAATGGGTAATCTAACTTGTTTCAAGTAGCATCATTAAAATTTTTAAAAACTAGAACACCACATTAAAATAAAGTACCTTAAGCTTTTCTTTCTGGAGATCTTGAGCGAGTTCACTGCAAAGTTCTTGGCACAAGCTGTACTGTTCTTCTGCTTTACTTATTTCACTGAAGGTCCTAGAGAAACAACAATGATTTGGTGCACAAAGCAAACTGTAACTCAAAATAATTTGGGAATGATATAGTATATTTAAATGGTCTAGAATTACTTTATATATTCTGCTGTACAAATAGTTTTCATATGAACTAAGACATAATTAAGTAGAAACACCTACAGTCTATATAAACAATAGAAAACCATGTAGATAGGTAAATTGATTTGCAAAGAAGCAATTTTATACTCTTGTTCTATAATATTTTTTAAAAAGATGATTAAAGTCATCAACAGACAATGCCCCAACTTATAATACGTTCAGTCAAGTATATATGTATATAGATTCTGCTATAGAAGACTATTTTAAGAAAATACAGATGAGAACATCATATTGTACATGAATTTTCTGGATAGAATATCTTTTTCTTTCTTTCTTCCCCCCCCCCCCTTTTAATTTTTTATTTTGAGATAGGGTTTCGCTAAGTTGATAAGGCTGGCCTCAGACTTGCAGTCCTCCTGCCTCAGCCCCCTAAGTCATTGGAATTACAGGCGTATACCACTGTGCCTAGCTCTGGACAAAGATGTCTTTAAGTAGATTTAATGGGTTGGCTCAGTACCCAGGTACATATCTACTTATCTAGTAGATAAGTGGAAATGGAGGGCTGGTAAGAATAAATGCAAAACTGAATATCTTCAAAAAGATATTGAAATAGATCATATTAACATTAAAGAGTCAGACATTAAAGAGAGATCACAGCAGTGAGAACAAAACCTTGAGCAAATAGTAATTCAGTAGCATCCCCACTTCTAAGACTATCCCCAGCTACTCAGTACTCTTCCCTAGTGGCAACCAATGTTTCTGGCTTCTTATTCATATGAATTCCAGAAATATTCGATCTGCTATGGCTTGAATATATCTCCCAACGGTTCATGTGTTGAAATTTAATCCCCAGTGTGAGATATTAAAAGGGTGCAAACCATCAACTACGGTGTTTAGGAGGTGATTAGAATTAGACAAGGTCATATGGGTGGAAGCCCTCATGATTGAATATTGGTGGCTTTACAAGGAGAGGGAGAGTCACTAGAAGAAACACATAACATGGCTCTATCTTTTGCTATGTGTTTGCCTTACACTGCCTTGGAGCAATAAGAAGGCTATCAGCAGATGTAGGCCTTTACCTTTGAACCTCCAGGCTAAATGAACCTCTTTTCTTCAAAAGTTATCTAGCTTCAGATATGTGGTTACAGAAACAAACAAACAACAACCACAAAAACATTGGGCTAATATGTACATATTAGCAAACAAGCAATAATTTTACCCTTTTTTATATAAATAGAATATTACATACATTATTTAGTACCTTGCTTTTTCTCAATTTATCTTGGTGTTACCAATGAGAAATTAATATCCTCATTTTATATGGCAGCATAACATTCTAATTCAAAGATATAACAATTCATCTGGGATTTTGATAGATATTACCAAATTTCTTACCCTTTGTTGTAGGTCAAATATTCGTCCCTAAAGATGTCTTCCCTGGATCAGTAAATAATGCTATCTAGGAGAACTTTGTTCTTCTTTAATTATAAATGAGAATGGGAATATTTTCATATAGCCTGTCATTTTTTGTTTCCTTTTCTCTTAACTAATTAGATATTTGGTACACTGATGCTTCTTATTGTTTATATGAGTTCTTTACATATTAGAGAAGTTAGGTTTTTATGTGTGATTGTGAATTACAATCTCCCTCTCCCCAATCCCATAACGAATTTGATGTTATAATACAATTTTTTAAAAAGCCAAGAAGAGGGGCTGGGGATATAGCTCAGATGGTAGAGTGCTTGACTCGCATGCATAAGGCACTGAGTTCAATCCCCAGCACCTTTAAAAAAAAAAAAGCCAAGGAGAGTTTTCAGAAAGAAAACTGGAGAATATATTCCCACATATCAATAATTTTCTCAGTAACAAAGTAAAAAAATACAAAAGAAATATTTTTAAACTGTACAACATTACTCATATAATCACATTTTGGATGAATGTGTTCTCTCTCTCAGATTGCTTTTATGTAAATCACAACCTAAAACAGCAATTTTTATCAAAGCCATTTATTGAGTATGTTGTTTTATAAAATTCATTCAGATTTTTTGGTCAGAAATAACATGTGAAATACAAATCCAACCTTCTACTAGGTCAGTGGTTCTTAAATGCCTGTGACATCTTGCTGCTTTGAGGAAATAATTGAGAGACTTTTAAAAAACATTTTCTCAAATAATAAAGTTCCATATCAAGATTTCATTTGTCTTGCAAACAAGATTGTAAGCCCACTAAATTAGCCCATTTCTTTTTTTTTTTTTTTAAGAGAGAGAGAGAATTTTAATATTTATTTTTTAGTTATCGGCGGACACTGCATCATTGTTTGTATGTGGTGCTGAGGATCGAACCCGGGCCGCACGCATGCCAGGCGAGCACGCTACCACTTGAGCCACATCCCCAGCCCAATTAGCCCATTTCTAAGCTCTCATTCACCAAGAATTAATACTACATGTTGAGGATCCCTTGTCTGAAATACTCAAGACAAGAACATAGATTGGACTTTGGATTTTTTTTAACAATTTCTGAATATTTGCCTGGATATAACAAGATATCTTAGAGATAGACCCAAGAATAAACCTGAAATTCTTTTGCTTCATATACACCTTATATATTTAGCCTGAAGGCACATTTACACAATATTTTTAGTATGCCTGTGTTTTGACTGCAACCAATCACATAAAGTCAGGTGTTAAAATTTTGTATTTGTGGTGACATATTGGCACTTAGAACATTCTGGAAACTCAAGCATTTCAGACTTCAGATTTTCAGACTAGGGATGCTCAATCATTTAATGCCTCTGCTCATGCAACCAATATTTAATGAGTTTCAAGAATTCCTGGGCAGGAGTTGCAGCTCAGTGGTGAAGCGTTTGCTTCACATGAGTGAGGCCCTGGGTTTGGTCCCCAGCACCACATAAAAATAAACAAATAAAAATAAAGATATTGTGTCCATCTACAACTAAAAAAAATATTTAAAACAAAAGAATTCCCAAATAAATCTTCAATTTCAAGACTAGAAATTAGAAACTGGAATCCTAAAATGCCTAGTTTTCAGCGAACAGAAGTAAAATCAACATGCATAAAAATGACTGCAGTTAGCTGGGCACAGTAGTGCATGCCTGTAATCCCAGTGGCTTGGGAGGCTGAGACAGGAGGATCAAGAGTTCAAAGCCAGCCTCAGCACCAAAGAGGCACTAAGCAACTCAGTGAGACCCTGTCTCTAAATAAAATACAAAATAGGGCTGAGGATGTGGCTCAGTGGTTGAGTGCCCCTGAGTTTAATTCCATGTACAACCCCCGACTCCCCAAAAAAAAGAAGAAAAAAAAAAAAAAAAAGATTGCAGTTAATTTGAGAGTGGCACAACCAAAGATAATAATACCCTGTACCGAAGTATACTGTAGCATGTAAGCTGAAGTATATATTGCAGCATTGTAAACTGCTGAAAACCGTTGATGTGATTTGCAAATACTGTACTAAAAATTAATTTAGAAATTAGTTTAAAATAACATTATGAACAATTAACAATAAATAACAAAACATTACCTCTCAACGCTCATGCTTTTCCTTTCTCCATCCCTTGAAGTGACAAAACAAAAACAAAAAAACAAGTCTTTATTTTCTATTTCAGAAAAGACTGATAGACAAATATAAAAGTAAATATGAAATACCTTATAAGAAGAAAGCATTTAGCTCAAAAAACAAAGCACAGTAGGGGAATAGAGAACATGGATTGAGGGGAAGTCAGATCTGCTATTTTATCATAAAACACCCACAGATTTCCCTTATTATTCTCTCTGAATACCAATATATGCTGTGTTATATCAGAACTATATTGCTTACAAGCAAGTAAGGAAATAAAAAGAGAATAATTTTTGGATTACAGAAGACATTTTTATTTCCTGATTTCTTCAAATACTAGTTAGTTGTAGTGCTGTGATATCTTCATCTTTCATTTTACCTACAAGATCAAAATGAGCTAACTGTAAATTCAAAATAAAAAAGAGCAGCAAGAGAATTATAATACAGCCTTGCAATCTGTTAAGATTTAGCAGGCTTAATTGGTTATTTAATTTTATAGACATTCTCAGCAATTTTATTGTTGTCTTTTATTTTAATTATAATAATAAGAAGTCACTTTGAGTACAGGATGACAAGATAATGACAAAATTGCAAAAATAGTGTCCAAGGTTGACTTCTGTGATTCCTATTCTTTCTTTTTAAAATATTTTTATTAGTACATTATAGTTATATATAATATTGGTGTTCATTTTGACACAATCATACATGCATGGAAAATAATTTATTTCACTTTAGTCCCCAGTACTTCCCCTTTCTCTCCCCTCCTCCCGCCCCCCTATTCACCTACCTATACTAGTCTTCCTTGTATTTATTTATAATTTTTTTAAAAATTGGTACTTTATAGATATACATAAAGATGAAATTTATAATTTTGTTAATTTCATCCTGAAGTTACTCCCTTTTCCCAACCCTCCTCCTTCCCCATCTACTCCCTTCTTCTACACCACTGATCTCCCTTCTGTTATCATGGGATTCCCCCTGACCCCATCCCTGACCCCACTCTGTTTTTTCCCCTTATTTTGATCTAACTTCACATATGAGAGAAAACATTTGACCCTTGATTTTGAGTCTCTTATTTGACTTAGCATGATGTTTTCAGTTTGATCCATAGACCACCAAATGCTGTAATCTCATTCTTGTTAATGATTGGTAAAACTCCACTATGTATATATACCACATTTTTCTTTTTCCATTTATCCATTTATCTGTGGACGGGCCTCTGGGCTGGTTCCATAACTTGGCTATTGTGACTTGTGCTGCTATAAATATTGACATGCCTGCATTACTACAGTTTGGTGATTTTAGTTATTCAATGTAAATACCAAGGAGTAGGATACCTGGGTCATACGGTTTTTTGAGGAATCTCCACGTATGAGTATACCTTCCCCCCACCTCCTCACCAGCATTTATTATTATTTGTATTCTTAATGATTGCCATTCTAACTGAAATGAGATGAAATTATAACCACAATTATAATTCTTGCCTATTATCTATTCTGATTGCTAATAATGTTAAACATTTTATCATAATGTTTGTTGGTCATCTCTATTTCTTCTTTTGATAAGTGTCTGTTTATTCCCTTCTTTTCACCTATCCCTAACAATTTACCTTTCCAGCTGTGGGGTACTTCCTGTTAAGACCTAGATGAAAAAGAGATGGAGGGGAAAAAAAAAAAAAACAACACAGGCCCACTTCTTTAGCCATTACCTGTCTCCTAGATCTTTGCATCATTGGGTCCGTCAATTTTCTGCCTCTGGATGAATGTTGCCAACCCCCACTCAGCCCCAAGTCTTTTTTTTTTTTTTTTTTTTTTTGGTACCAGGGATTGAACCCAAGGGTGCTTAACTACTGAGTAACATCCCCAGCCCTTTTTATTTTCCATTTTGAGACATGGTCTCTCTAAGTTGCTGAGGGCCTTGTTAAATTGCTGAGGCTGGCTTTGAACTCACAATCCTGCCTCAGTCTCCCTAGCCGCTGGGATTACAGGCATGTGCTAGTGTACCCAGCCCCAAAGTCATTTTTTGCGCCCTCATTCTACTTTACTTTCCTTTAAACCATTTGTTTAATGGTTATTTTCTATCCCACACACTAGTCTGCAAACTCCATGAATATAGGACTTTCTCCTAGTCACTGTCATTATCCCTAATTCCTAGGACAATGCTTAACACAATAATCAAAGAATAAATCACTTATGTATCTGGAAAAGAAATAAAATATTGTCAGTTCATGAAGGCTTTCAAAGAATCATTAAAACTCCTTCCTTAAAGAATGAATTATGGAATATAAGCCATCTTTTTTTCCTCAACAATCTGACAACCAGCATTCCTCTTATATTCTGAAAAAATAAGGCAGAGATAAAAAATAAAATAATCATTGATTCTCTTGTCCATCTACTCAACTGCTGAAGTGTAAGTCTTTATTTTTCTTTTGCTTTTCTCCTGAATCTAATCTGTTGATTTTTAACCCAAACATTATATTCTGAATCAAACTGGTCTTGGAGGATTTTAAAACACGTTATCTTTATAGTCTCTATCTCAATGGTTAAAATTGACATTTCAGCAAATAATTAAGCAGAATTACTATATATACCTTGCCAGATGTGTTGAACCTAGACCCAGAGAGATGTGAAGGAAATAATGCCAAGATGTTTCAGAGAAAAGGAGAGAAAGTAATGCCCTCTGTTGGTAGAGTTCTGTACAAGTAATAATTCCAAGGGCCTTTAACATTTTCTCTGTAACTTTTCCTATTCCAGAAACCTAGAAGAGAATCAACATTTATCATTAATTTTAAATTAAGATCAGAACTGAGAGGGTAATCTTATTAAAGGTATAAATAATGTTACTATCATCACAAATCTTGTGAGAAAACTGATTTTGTTACTTTCGGGTCACATTTCCTAAAGAGCATTCCATTTGATTTTTAAAGGCACTAAAAAAGGAGTTGTTGGGCTGGTGTTATAGCTCAGTGGCACAGTGCTTGCCTAGCATGAGTGAGGCACTGGGTTCGATCCTCAGCACCACATCAAAATAAACAAGTAAAATAAAGGCCCTGTCCATCTACAACTACAAAAAAAATTTTTTAAAGAAAAAAAAAGGAGTTGTTGGTCATATATACCTTTAGGGAATGGACAGTCAACAAATTTAAATGGAAAATTTTGCTTCAAAATTAGAAATCTTTAATATACTAATATATAAACAGTGACCCCCTTTTTTAAAAATAATATTTTTTGGTTGTTGATAGATCTTTATTTTATTTATTTATATGTGGTGCTGAGCCCCAGCCCCAGCCCACCCCAAAGCTCTTTGATCCAGACTTTTTTTAAATGAAACACCTATTTATACTTTGAAAAACACATTAGAAAATACTACTTTATAATTATGTCTTACATATATTATCCAATAATCATAAACATTGTATAGAGTAATTACTGAAAAAAAAAAGATATCTATGCAGAACAATTTGGAAGCTCTGAAGAGTAATAAAAATATACCCTTTTCTGGAACCCCTAAGAGATAATTTTATCATTTTAAAGATGGTAAAGTATTTTTGCTTTTTTTATATAATAATAAAAATTCTAAATATCTTTGAAATATACCTATTTGGTAGCACTCTATTAAGTTACAGTTGGGAAAGGACTTTTCTAAGTATTTTTTATTTCTTTCTCCTTTGCAGGAATCCACTTAAAAGCTGTCATCCAAGTATGCTCCTAAAAATTTCTAGAAATAAGCTTCCTAAACCTGATTTTTAGGGTTTCACAGAAAGATCTCGTCAAGTCCACATTCAACCACCAATTATAATTCTTGCCTCTTATCTATTGTTTTAAAACTTCTCAGCAAAGAATTACTATCAGCCTAAATGATGTCCCTTCAGAATTCAGAGAACATGTACCAGATGATAAATTTTATATAAAATCTTACCTTCCTAATTGGTAAGTCTTTGATGAAGCCCATCACAGCTTGTCTGTTGGGGAGAATTTGGTATTGTCCATTTGGCTTATTCTTGTCACTGCAAACTTTTGCCAACATTGTATTGGGAGCAATTCCTTAAAAGAATTAAAAGAACATTCTACTTATAAAAGTTGATATGTATTTATTTTTAACTAAGTGATGACAAAACAGAAAAAAATAAATGCAAATAATCTGAAATGATACATAATGCCACTTTAAAGATAACATTTTATTATCATCTATTTCCTCAGGATTTGCTATGCTTTGGTGTTTTTTTGTTTTTGTTTTTTTCCCCTTTGTTGTTGTTGGGTTTTTTGGTACTAAAGATTGAACCCAGGGTCACTTAAACACTGGTCAACATCCCCAGCCTTTTTTAGTTTTCATTTTGAGACAGGGTCTCACTAAGTTGCTTAGAACCTTGTTAATTTGCTGAGGCTGGCTTTGAACTTGTGATCCTCCTGCCTCAGCCTCTCAAGTCACTGGGATTACAGGAGTATGCCACCATGCGTACTTGCTATGGTTTTAAGAAAAGGAATTTTATTAGTTATTGGGGCAGAAGAAATGGGAATATTTAATTCTCCATGATATTTAAAATCTAAAAATAATTTCTGAGTTGAGTAATATTAAATGTAACTTACTACTGAGTTTACTTACTATCTTTAGTAGAAATACAGGATTGTTATAGTGGCTGGCCCTATAACCATTACTTAGAAAAGATCCAGAATATAATTTGTGAAGGATGTTTATTCTTTGAAAAGTTTTTTTTTAATGAATTATTCACATAAAGAAAAAAAAAGCTTCTGTATATTTATTTAAAACATTTCATCCCTTTTGCTACTCACAAAGCAAATTAAATTACTACTTTTCAGACAGGTGTTTTAACAATTTCCAGGAGTCTTAGAGATTAAGGTAATTTGAAACAGATATATTCAAATAGAGCCATCAAATAGTTCACTTTAATTTTATACATATTTTCCTAAATTTTACTATTCATTTTCATGTTTTGTTAAAGAAAGATTAACCTAATTATGACATGAGTACTACAAGATAATTCAGGGTCCTCATGATGAGTATCAATTATTATGCTACATAGTGATGCCCTTATGGGTTATTGACATTTGCAAAGCTGTTTTTTGTTTTTGTTTTTTTCCCCTTTTACCAGTTGGTCCTAAACTGCTACATTGCTAGCTGGTGTTTTGGATTTTTTAATTTTTTATCTTCTATCTTGATGTCTTCTGGGTTCTCTCCTGCACATATTCTAAGACAGCAATGAAGTCTCCTAAGGAAGAACTAATCAAGATTTATGAGAAAAACCAATGACCATATATTTTGCATTTACAAAAGAAGAGCTACATAAGATTTATGATAGGCTTTTTTCTTTGTGCTCATGTGCTTTTCTGCTAAATTCCTATTTACTTGTAGGTTCACAGCTCTTCAGAATAGGTAAAGTTTCAGAATGTAAAAAAAAAAAAAAGAATAGATAAGTAAAAAGATACTATATCCTTTCAAATGAGAAATTATTAATATGACACTTGAATTAAGTCAGCCCAAAACTTACAACCACACTGTGCATCAAGATCCTGACCTGCACTAGCCGTCAGTGTTGTTTTTTGCTCGATTCTGAAACGAATTTCCTTTACCACTTCCTCAGCTGATGTTCCAAAAACAACTGAATTTTGTAGTATTTGAGGATTGTTTTGTTCTTCAAAGTTCGATGGGGTTTGCAAATCAGGAGGACTATCTTCGAAAAGCAGTGGAGAGATGGGCCGTTCATGCTCACTCAGTTTATCCACTTCCTTTTCTGGTTGATCTAAATTATAAACGGGAACAGTAACTCATGTTCATTTTAAGAGGTATATATTTCACAAGTTAGATTTTGCTTCATTCTTTCTTTAAATTTTTCTTTTTTCTACTTTCCCCTCACATTATTTCTGAAGACAAAGCAAATTTAATAGTTTCTAGAAAACATGATCAGAAATGCTACAATTTATATTTTATAACTGTTCAATCAAGAAAAAAACTGTCCAGGTTTTTCTTTTAAAAAAATTATCTTTTTTCATATTATACATTCTAAAAGGATCTACCCTATGTAAAGTTCATTAAATTTTGAAATGCATTACTTTTTTTCTTTAAAAACTAAAGTATTTCTTGCCTTTTATTCTTCTATATGGAAAAAAAGACCTTTACTAAATTAGACTTTAGGAATGAGGAAAAAAGGCTTTAGGCAAATAGAATAATTATATCTGAAAAGTAAGTTTTGCTTTTAGAGAGAAAATAATTTTTCTTCATCCCTGGAAGAAACTTTTCAAATGTCAAATCTTTATTTCCTTCTTTTAAATCTGATTTTATTTTGACTTGCTTGTGCAAAGTATCACTTTTACTAAGGGTACATTTGCAACAAATACAAATTGCCCCTGAAAGTTATGTTTCTTTATACAAATTTTTAGGGTCTGACTGGATTAACCAAGGTCTAAGTTTAAGGAAAAGAACATATACCATCACTAGACTATAAACTATAATTATTAAAAAGTAAAATAAAAATACCAATTATTATCTCATTTTATTTGCATTTTTCAAAATATAATGTAAAATACACTTAAATCTATATGCATACTTAAAATGTTCTCATAATATCTCATAAATGCTTCTCAAATTAAGGTAAATACAGTAGCAATAATTAAATTTCTTAAGTTTCAAGATACACATAAAGTATATTACTTGAAAAATAAATTTAGTCTTTTAGGAAACTTTTCTAAAAAGATAACAAATTATATGATAAAAACCTGATTAGTTTCAAGTTTTAAGGTAGGTAATAGAAATTATGTCACAGATATAATCTCCAAATTGGAATTCTCAGGTCATATGAACCCTATTTTACATTAACTGTTACTTATATGCTTCAGTTCCTTTTCATTTTTTATATCTAGTTTTAAAGTTCAGAGTAACTCAGAGGGGATTCAAAGTACGGAACATTTGAAATGATATTCACTGGAGCCCGTTTCCCCATTGGATGAGTGGAACTCAAGGTAATAAAAGCTGTAGAAGAAAAACTGCAGATCAGGTAAGGTACCTGTCACATTCATAAGCCGCTCCTGCAGAGTTCCTTATGCTGTTATAAAGGGCTAATCCCTCTCACACCCTGTTTTCAGGTGAGTCACTGCAATAGTAGAATGCTACAGGAGAAAGCAAAGATTGGTACCTTCTGGTACATTATTAGAGCTACTGCAGAATGGTATGTTACCTTTTCCATCTCAACTGCATTTTGCTTCTTTGGGAGGCCTGGAAATATAACTAACTGCTAAAATTGTTTATTTACTTCCAAACTGAATATTTTTGTAATCCCCGTAACTGAGGTAATCAGAGTACACTGTATGGTATTACCAGGATTAAAGCATTCCATCTGAACTGCAAGTGCTAAAAAGTGAGTGTTATTCAGTTTCTTACATAGACTGGTATCCACCATCCAAATTTATATTACAGAGTAGACATAAAATAATATGTATAATATCTGTATATTTCTTGGCGTTGCTTTGAACAGATAATAAAGGGAGTGATTTTTAAAAAAATCTATGAAGCCATGAAACTTCTGATTCATTGTATTCTAGAGTCATGATAAGGTCTAAGTCAAAGAAGGGAAAGGAAAGTCATTAATTCTGGCAGAGTAGAAAACAGTAATAATTGCTATACTAGAACCAAATTGTAAAAAACATGGGAAATGAAGAAAAGAAAAGAATCACTCAATATTTTCATATCTTTTTTAAAAAATCTAATTTCTATTAAGAACAATAACAAAAAAAGCTACCTTACACAGATAACTTCCTCAGTTTTTTATTTTATTTTATTTATTTGTAGATGGTGCTGAGGATCAAACCCACTGCCTCATACATGCTAGGCAAGTGCTCTACCACTGAGCCACAGCCCCAGCAAATTCCTCAGTTTTAATGCGATCTAAACTCTTTGTTAGATTTTAAGAAAATACTGTTAGATTTTAAGAAATTACTTTGTACAGGGACTCAGCACTTATAGTGCTTGGAGATTTAACAATCTCATTTGGTTTAAAATGATATTTTATACATTTAACTTAAACCTGGTATATTTTAAATTTCTGATTTTTCATTTTTATAAAGATATATCTAATCCTACCACCTACACATGCTAATGGAGTTAACTGGGTTGATTCAAAGGGTTACTTTTCTGTTTCTTAGTGTTTAGTTTGATAATTCTTATAAATTGCTTACCATTTTCTATGGCATTTTCAGTTTTGACGAAATATTTTCTTTTGTCCTCAGGCCAATTTTGTCTTTCTTGTAAGTGCTTGGTTATATTCAAGTAAGCTTCATCAAGACTCATGGCCATAAAATTGGGATCATAATCAGCAAGTATTTCCTTAACCTTCAAAAGGAACAAAAGAAGCTTAAATTCTGCTGCTACAGCAAAGCCTCCTGTCACATATAGCTGATGAGAAACATTAATATTCTTTCTTTGCAACAATAGTAATGATCCTGCAATCAATAGCTCATAGATTTGAGGAATAAATAATTTACTACCAGTGCATATTTGTCAAATTCTCTTTTGTCTTAAAATAGATCATGAAGGCAGAAGGCCATGAAATAGTTTCATCTGATGCAATCTCTCTTTAGCCACCTACAACTTGATATAGTAAGCAATTCAAATAAATCTCAGATGACATCATTATGGTAGACAGAAAAGAAAATGGTTAAGGTTTTAGGAATCTAGCTAAAAGTAATTCTACTCTCATCTTTTAGGATGATTTTTATTCATCTTAAAAAGGGATAATCTTATGTAAAAATACTCAATTAATTATAACATGCACAAAAAACAACTCTCGATACACACATTAATGCATGTATCCATACAGGGAAATGAAAGTTTACTATTTACTGGCATCTAAAATGGAAAAGATGTTAAAATTTGTAACGTAACTTCATGATTACATTATATTATACAGAAAAGTCTTGCACTGCCTCGTGGGATAAAGGAAATACATATAGAATTTTAGTGATACAATCCAGAAATTCCTTTTATATAAGATGATTTTTATTACATGAAACTATGAATTTTTTTGATGACTGTTTTTTACAACTGAAGTATTAGCTATAATTAGAGGGAATGATTGACAAAATAATAACATATATTAGAAAACATTGGCTGAATTATGTTACATTTCATCTAGCATTTAAAATCTATCTACTATATCTTGAGAAAACTTTTGTTTCTTTATAAAAAGAAAGTGTTTTAGCTTAATGTAATTATGAACAGCTGAGTCAAGGGGAATTTCAGAATAGTTTTACTCAGAGAAGGCCTAAAATAGCTTTGTTCTTGTAGAGAAACCATTTTTATAATATACTCAAACAGAATCTTTCTAGTAAAAATGAAACTCTGGAAAGTCTGTAGCTAGCAGACAACTAACATTCTGAATGAGAAGTACTCTCTAGAGACACTGCTTAGTACTTACTTCCTTTTCCTAGGCAACTGGCAAACAAAAATAGATATGTTCCAGGTAAAAAAATCAAGCACTTAAAGCTCTAAGAACAGTTAAAGCTACTCCAATATTTTGGACAAAACAAAAATAGATCTTCCTTAAGCTTTCTAAACTAAGCCAAAAATATCTATAGTTGATTTTTTATCTGCAAATTAACTATGTAGATTTTGCTGGAATCTTAAGATTTTTCCAACTTATGTAAATAAACAGATGAAAGAAAACTAGAACCAATTTAGTTATCTTTGTCACACTGTCTAGTTTTACTGAGTTAAAGTGGTACTTAAAATTCTTAGTCTTTATGGGACTTTTAACTTATTAAAAACCTATATGCATGATTAGCATTTTATTTATTTTTAATTAAAAACACAATAAGAGAGATAAACAGTCATCAAATTTGAGTGTACTGCTCTCTCCTTTTCCACTGTTTCTGATAGGCACAGAGCACTTGCTTTAACAGACTATTTTGAAGAATATTCTTTTAAAACTTGGATAGGATGTCATTTCCAGCAAAATGAGATGGAGTACAAATAAAAGGATGAATTTAAAGGTTACTTGCATGTCTAAATGTTTAACAAGTGGCAGACCATAGTTTTTAAGTGCTTCCATTCACTTAAAAAGACAGCATTTACTCTAGCAGTCTAAAAGTGATGTAGATATAGCATTCAAATTAAATCCCAGGACTACAGGATAGGCCAGTTCTTATAAAACAGAGAAAACAGCTATTTTTCATATAAGATACTTTGGAATTTTAGTAAATAATCAAATCTTTATACTTCAGAGATCCTTTTCAAAGCAATGAATTATTCCCTTTTCTCTTTGATTTAATGTTTCTAAGATATTATATGTTCAAGTAACTTCACAAGATCGTGGGACAAGGAAAGCAGGTAATTAAGTGAATTTCATCACTGCTTAAAAACACTCAGAAGAGACTAAAATTAATGATGAGTAGATTCTGTTAATTATAAGGTTGTTCTAGAAGAAAATGTATTTTTCATATTAGGAAAAAATAGTTTAAGTTACTAAGGTTACTCAAAGTTTGGGGAGATGAGTTTTTTAAGCAGATGCAAAAAATTCATGAAAATAGAATGGTCTATTCCAGGTACCATAAACAGCTCAGTATTCAATATATAATGTGAAGAAGTGGTTGAAGGTGAGACTAAAGATGAGACTAAATGTGGTAGACCACAGTATCATTTACTAAAATCCTGATGTGCTAAGGTATTTAGAGTTGACTCTCTAGGTGGCAGAAAACCAGAGAAAGAATATTAAGTAGGAGTGAGATATCAACTTACTTCTTTACTCACAGCTCTGTATTTGTCAAAGTTTGGGGGCACTATGATAAGTTGTGGGCAGAGTCTCTTAGCAATAAATCCTGGCATGGCTGCACGAACACCAAACCTCCTTGCAATGTAATTTGAAGTAGACTGAAAAAGAATTGGCCACATAGAGAAAAATAAACAAAAGTAAATGGACATGTTGATCCATGCATTCATAAGAAACACATTATTGATATGCATTTTCAATTCAAGGATATTTCTATTACAAGCCACTCTCTTGAATCACTGAACCCAGAGTTTGACTTTATCCTATCATGGTATGATAATACCATGACCCTTTCTCACTGCTGTCCTTATATTTATAATGTGATACCAGATAGTAATTAAGCTATTCTAATAAAGAGATTCTTTCGTAATTCCAGTAAGTAAACTTCATATTTTTAAATAATTTTTTTTAGTTGTAGTTGGACACAATACCTTTATTTTATTTACTTATTTTTATGTGGTGCTGAGGATTGAACCTAGTGCCTCACACATGCTAGGAGAGCACTCTACCGCTGAGCCACAACCCCACCCCCCCTGAAAATAAACTTCATTTGTTTTAAGACATACCTGTAATATAGTACATATCCAAGTCTGGATGATAGTGGATGTTGTTATATAAAAAGTAATAGTATAGAATAGTTAATAGGATAGTGCAAATAATTTAAATATTACATAAAAGTCACAGTATAGAAAGTAATAATATAGAATAATACAGGTTGAGTATCATTTATCCAAAGTGCTTGGGAACAAAAGTATTTCAGATTACAGAGTCTTTCAGACTTTAGAATATTTGCACAGATTTTACCAGTTAAGCATCCCTGATCTGGAAATCTAAAATCTAAATGCTCCCAAATCTGAAATTTTTGAGTGATGGATTTTGGATTTCTGGGGATGATAGATCTGTAGTATATTTTTGGATTTGCTCAATTTGGTATTTGGGGAAATTTTTACCTAGAATAACAACTAACAATTGAAGGTCTAACCAAATTAAGTCTCCAAAATGAATTTTTATTTCTCAACACATGAATATATTTTTTGGTAAAACCATTTTGACTAGGAGATGGAATTAAAAAAGAATGAGAGTAAAACAGAGAATATTACTTATTAAATCCTTAGTGATGATATTTGTCAGTAACATATGTCAATCTGGTAGACCACAGTACCATTTACTAAAAAAATTTTTTATCATAAATAGAATCTTTATATGGAATCTCAAGTGAAAATTCAAAGAAAAGCAGAACACAATCTATCAAATGAAGGAATTATCACAAAATATTATTAGTTTTCCTTTAATAAATTTCAAAAGGTATTTTAAAAATCTTGAGAGGGATTAAAACTATGCTAATCCTTGCTCAGTGATCCAAAAAGGAAAATGCAAATCATACTAGAAAGACAAACCAATGCTATAAATATAAATAAGTGTAATGGAACGAATATGAATGCTATATCTAAGTAGAACAGAAACAAAGATTTGAATTCCTCTGTTTGTGGTAGATCATGAATCAGAGCCATAACAGTTTTACAAGTTACTCAAAAGGTAAGATTTTAGTTCCTTATACCAAATGACTTGCCTTATGACTAACTTTGAACAAAAGCATGTGTGGTAAATGCTACAGTGTGAGTCCTGAAGCCTAGGTCTTAAGAAGCCTTCAGCTTCTACTCTTGCTTTTTTGTGATCCAGCAAACCATTGCAAAGACCTTGTGGTACATTACTAAAGGATGAGCATGGAGAGAAGAAAGTACAAACATTGGAAGCCACTCTAATCACTTCTGTGGAAGTGCTAGATATAAGCCATTTCAGATTCTCTGGCTCCAATTAAACAGCCCTAGCTAACCCCAGGTAGAGTTGAGTTATCCCCATTGAACTCTGCACAAATTATAGAATCATGAGAAAAGACATGGTTGTCTATAAACTACTAAAGGGTTTCTTATACAGCACTAGAAAATGCTACAAGTCTAAGTTCCTATTCTTAGAGCCAACTCAGAACATTTCCAAAATCCATTAAATTCACCAAAAGAAGAATTACTGGAATAATCAAATATGCACCATCACACTCACTAATTTGTAGATACACTTTTATGAGTCCACTAAGACAAAAACAATTTTATGCTTCAGCTCTCATCAGAAGGGAATTTAATTTAGTTCAGCATACAAAAAGGATAATCTTTGTTAAATATAGCAAATAATCAGGATAGATAGTGTCTGAAAGATATTTTTTTTTTGTAGATTTCAAAAGCAGTGGGTTATAGTTCTAACAAGGTTACAGTATGTGTATATGCATAAAACACACATACATAAATATAGATATTATATTTTCTTAATACAATTTTTTTCAAATGTTTTTTGGTGATTTGTAAGAAAGGGGAGTTGAGTACCCTTTCGATAAACATTATTTTAGAACCAGACTTGTCAGTTGTGTGTATACTTATAGGAATAGAGATAGGAAATACACAGATTATAAATTAATAATAACTCTGTAGGGATTAAGGTATAGCTATCTAAGGCACCAGAAGGAGGCAACAACAGGGAATAACTCTCTTCAGTATGTTTTTCTTTTCTTTTTTTGGTACCAGGGATTGAACCCAGAGGCACTTAACCACTGAGCCACATCCCTAACCCTTTTTTGTATTTTATTTAGAGACAGAGTCTCGCTGAGTTGCTTAGGGCCTTGCTAAGTTGCTGAGGCTGGCTTTGAACTTGTGATCCTCCTGCCTCATCCTCCCAAGCCACTGAGATTATAGGTGTGCCCCACTGTGCCCAGCCATGGTATGTTTCTTTATACCCAAACCCATTTATCTATTCTAGTACTTTTAATTCTCAATACATTTTCAGCCACATATAGCTATTCTGTATCCTGGTCACCTTTACCTTCTATGGTCAAGGAAGAAGTAAAAACAAACAAACAAAAAAAGCAACATAGTGATCAGAAAAATGAAGATTCTGAGAAAAACTATTAAAGTGTGTTCTAAATGTAACATGGTAATAAAATAGCTCACTTTTAGAACTAGGTTGACAAATCTTTTCTGTGAAAGTCCAGATAGTAATCACTTTAAGCTTTATGATCATATTTTTTATTGTAAGTGCTCAATTCTACTCTTTTAGTGAAACAGCAGTAATAAATGGCTGTAACTTTGTTCCAATAAATGTATTTAAAAAGAGGGTGGCAGGGTGAACTTGATCTGTAGGCACAGTATGAAAAATTCTTCTTTAGAATGACATTTCCTTTTTCTTTCTTCTTTAAGTAGAACACTTGTGAAAAAATATAATTTGCCATGAAAAAGAACAATGTCAGTACCATTTTAATAGGTTTGTATTTTGGGCAAGTTATTAATCATTTGAATTTGTTTTCTTTTCAAGTGGAAATAAAAAATAGTACCTTAATGTATGTTGAAAAAACCAACTGAGCATTTATAAAGCACCCAGAAAAATACTCAGCAAATTGGTACACCTCAATAAAAGTTTCTCCCTTTGTGAACTAGTAAGGCCTACTAGAACATGCTATGAAATTCCCTTTCTGTTTTTGATCTTTGCTTACTTACCAACATACTCATTGATCCTACAGCAATGGGTTTATCCTTTAATTCTGGATTGTCCCTCATTTCTACAGCTGCATAGAAGGCATCCATGTCAACATGCACTATGGTATTGTTCAAATCCCGGCCCTGTTCTAATTCCATTGCAAATCTGTCAACCTTAATTAAAAAAAAAAAAAAAAAGAGTTAACACACTTTAAGACAACATAATATTTAAATATCATTAATCATAACATTAATTTTAATTTAGTAGGCATTTATGTGCCTCCATCCGTTTATGCATCCATACATCCTATGGATGCAAATTTTATGGCTATTCATGAGTGTTTATGGGTATATAATTTATTGTTGTTTATTGAGAATGGTAACTGCTTTTATTTTCACAAATACAGCTTATTCTTTAAAATTTTTTAAAAAAATATTTATTATTTTTTAGTTGTAGTTGGACACAATATCTTTATTTTATTTTTATGTGGTGCTGAGGATCTAACCTAGGGCCTCGCACATACTAGGCGAGGACTCTACCACTGAGCCACAATCCCAGCCCCACAGCTTCTTTTTTTAAAAAAATATTTATTCTTAAGCTTTAGGTGGATACAATATCTTTATTTTACATTTATGTGGTGCTGAGGATTGAACCTAGTGCCTTGTGCATGCTAGGTGAGCACTCTACCACTGAGCCACAAACCCAGCTCCCCCCCCCCCCCAGCTTATTCTTAAATGTCATTTCTTCACAACTCTTCTCTCCATACTCCCAGGCTATATATATAGTAAGAACTTAATAAATATTTATTGAATGAAGAAGTATTTCAACTGCTTATATCAAATATTCTATTGCTTTATAAATTTGGAGAACTTACTAGTACTGAAAGTCTCAATTTAGGTAAAATAAACAACTCCTATTTGACTCAAAATGTGTCTTAAAATAGCAACAAAGAAAATGTACAACAAAAGATTATACCTCTTTGGCATATCTTGTTATACTGAACAGTAACGTATAACCCAAACACACCAAAGTATAATGTAAAAATTCCCTCTGTAGAACTGCTGTCATTATGCATTTGATAAATGTTAGTTGATACAAATAAAATTTGAAAACTTAAGAAATAATTAATACTTTATAAACTTCAATACATATGTCAAATTATCTTAATCTTTGACTCTTCAGAGAAAAATTGGGCTGAAAAGAATAAAGAGAAACAAAAGGGGGTAGAAATAACCAAAGTAGGCAAGTAAGAAAAGGGTTTATGAAACAGACATACTCATTTATAATTGCTTTTTGTGGCTTGCCTCTGTTAATGTTAAATAATTCCAGCTTTCTGGGTAGCTGAGGGTTACTGTGTGACAATTTTATCTCTGCAATGCGTATTCAAGTTGCCAAAACCATTGAAATAAAATCATAAGAGCATGTAAGGAGCATGGAACAGTGACACATGGTACAAGTTCAATAAATGCAATTTATTACTAAAAGTATGAGCATATAGCTACATAACAAAGCAATCAAAAACAGAGAAAAACAGCCCAAAATTGGCAAGTGCTGGTGAATCCTGGAATAAAATCAACTTCCACCATGTGGAGATCCTTAGAGCAAGTTGTTGTTGTTGTTTGGTACTAGGGATTGAAACCAAGGGCACTCCACCACTGAACCACATCCCTAGCCCTTTCTTGTATTTTATTTAGAGACAGAGTCTCACCAAGTCCCCTACGGCCTCATTAAGTTGTTGAGGCTGGCTTTGAACTCGTGATCCTGCTGCCTCAATCTCCCAGGCTGCTGGGATTACAGGTAAGCACTACCATGCCCCGCTGAGCAAGTTTCTTTGAAGGTGCAAATATAATAGGCATGGTGGCTCACACCTGTAAACATAGCAACTAGGGAGGCTGAGACAGGAAGATTACAAATTTAAGACCAGCCAAGGCAACATAGTGAGAGCCTGCCTCAAAATTATAAGCATTTTTATACATCACTAATGAATCCTCACAAAGAGAAATTAAGAAAACCACCCCATTCACAAAAGCCTCAAAAAAACCCAAAAAAACTTGGGAATCAATTTAAAAAAAGAGGTGAAAGACCTCTACAAGGAAAACTATAGAACACTAAAGAAAGAAATTGAAAAAGACCTTAGAAGATGAAAAGATATCCCATGCTCTTGGATAGGCAGAATTAATGTTGTCAAAATAGCCATACTACCAAAAGTGCTATGTGATACCAATTAAAAAACTCAACGTCATACCTCATAGAAATAGAAAAAACAATCTTGAAATTCATTTGGAAAAATAAGAGACCCAGAATAGCCAAAGAAATCTTTTAGCAAGAAAAGTGAAGCAGGAGGCATCACAATACCAGACGTTAAACAGAGCCATAGTAACAAAAACAGCATGGTATTGGCATCAAAACAGACATGTAGACCAATGGTACAAAATAGAAAACACAGAGACAAACCTGAATAAATACAGTTATCTCATACTAGACAAAGGCACCCAAAACACACATTGGAGAAAAGATAGCCTCTTTAACAAATCATACTGGGAAAACTAGAAATCCATATGTAGCAAAATGAAATTAAACCCCTATCTCTCTCTATGCACAAAACTCAATTCAAAGTGGATCAAGGACCTAGGAATTAGACCAGAGACCCTACACCTAATAGAAGAAAAAGTAGGCCTAAATTTTCATCATGTTGGGTTAGGCCCCTAAAGCGCAAGAAACAAAATCAAGAATCAATAAATGGAATGGAATCAAACTAAAAAGCTTCTTCTCAGCAAAAGAAACAATCAATGAGGTCAAGAGAGAGCCTACATTTTGGGAGCAAATTTTTGCCACATGCACATCAGATAGAGTGCTCATCTCCAGGATATATGAGAACTCAAAATAACACCAAAAAAACAAACAACCCAATCAATAAACGGGTTAAGGAATTGAACACACACTTCTCAGAAGAAGATATACAATCAATCAACAAATATATGAAAAAATGTTCAACATCTATATTAATCAGAGAAATGCGAATCAAAACTACTCTAACATTTCATCTCCAGTCAGAACAGCAATAATTAAGAATAATAAGCAAAAATAAGTGTTGTGAGGATGTGAGGAAAAAGGCACGCTTACACATTGCTGGTAGGACTGCAAATTGGTACAGTCAATCTGGAAAGCAGTACAGAGATTCCTTAGAAAACTTGGAATGGAACCACCGTTTGACCCAGCTATCTCACTCCTCACTCTATACCCAAGGGACTTAAAAAGAGCATAGTACAGTGACACAGATACATCAACGTTTATAGCCACAGAATTCACAATAGCAAAACTGTAGAACCAATCTAAATGCCCTTCAATAGATGAATGAATAAAGAAACTGTGGCATATACACACAATGGAATATTACTGAGCAAGAAAAGAGAATAAAATTCTGGCATTTGGAGGTAAATGGATGTAGTTAAAGAATATCATGCTAAGTCAAGTAAGCCAATCCCAAAAAACCAAAGGCCAAATGTTTTCTCTGATAAGCGGATGTTAATCCATAATGGGGAGGGGCACAGGATGAGTGGAAGAACTTTGGATTGGGAAAAGGGGAGGGAGTAGAGAGGGGGCATGGGGATAGGAAGGATGGTGGAATGAGACAGACATCATTACCCTAGGTACATGTACGATTACATGAATGGTGGGACCCTATTTCGTGTACAACCAGAGAAGTGAAAAATTCTGCTCCATTTGTGTATAATGAATCAAAGAGCATTCTGCTGTCATGTATAACTGGGGATGGAGCTTAGTGGTTGACTGCTTGTTTGGTATGCACAAGAATCTGGGTTCGATCCCCGGAACCATCCTGCCATGCACACACAAAGTGGAGAGGCACAAAGGTACACATTGTATGTGGCTTTTCCCCCCATGCTGGACTTCCCTTATCTCCACTTTGCAGAATTTTTTTTCATGGCCTTCCTTCTTAGCATTATTGTGACACTAGCTGTTCACTAGCCATAGATTAAAATTATAATTTCTTTTTTAGAAACAATCACCCTGAATCACATTTGTCTGTAGCAGCCACAGTAAGAATCTCCAGAGGGCCTGCTCCTGTTTAGTCTACAAGTCACTGAAAGACTTGAGGTGTTCTGTGCTTTCCTCAAGCTGTTCCTTTGTCTAGAATGCCTTTCCTACCTGTCACAAGGCTTCAAGGATCAGCTTACATATCTCTCTGTAATTTAACTGGATCTTTTTCCTTTGTGTCAGATAAGTTAATATTCCTTCATTTGTATTCCTGCTCTTATCATGGCACTTATTGTATTAGATGCTGAATTTTGAGTACCTTCAGGAGAAAGTTCTTATCTACCAGTAAATCCTTCCCCACAGAAGAGACAGGAGGGGAGGCTGGTAGGAGAAATTAAATTTGTATCAATATATAACTTTAATATATTAAAGTTGTTTTTTTAAAAAAGTAGTATTAGAAAAATTTTGGAGAAGGTTAACTTCTTGCAGTGAGACACTGTACATAACAAAAGGAACTTTTCAATTTTATCCTGATTTATCATCCTGATTTAAACTGTTTCTTCTGGCAGTGTTCATTTTGGACTTGAGAATGGCATCCTGACTAGATGTAAACAAATCATGAAGACTAGTAAAAACAGGGTAGACTAAAAGCTAATCTACAACCCAGATAATATGCCTAGGATATGAGTAGAGTGAGAGTGAGGGAGTGGCATCTGAAATAATTTGGCCTGAAATTATCCAGAAAACTAAAAGACAATAAATAGAAAGCAAACCATATGGTAAAAATTCTCTTACGACTCATATATTAATGCTATGACAATTTCTTTGGCAATGTATTCTCTTTTCTTAATTTAAGTGTGCAGTTGCCAAAAGGAAACCTCCCCACTGCATGACTCATACATTCCACTTTCCTTTACTATCTCTCATTAGTCACCCTTGTCTGAACTTTTCTTTTTACATCTACCAGATGCACACCACCACTGTTTTTTTTAGTTTTTTTCTACTTAAGTTCTCACATTTCCCTTTCTTCTATTTTCCCTCCCAATGATTTTCAAGCTCTGATCTGAGTCTGTAACATGCACCTTGTTCCCTCTGTCACTGCTGAGAATCAGTGTGTGTCACATGGGGTTAAATATAAGGGCTTTGGTTTAGGTCCCAGCACTGCCACTCATTAGTT